AATGCATCTAGTCATTTACAGAATTACTGTTATCCACAACGTGGTTCTTATCGAATATTTAGTGATACACAATTACTAATACAATTCAGTCTATTACCACCTATACTTATGTGTATATTTATTACATTCATTATTAAAAATATTCATGCTTCACATAAACGTATTGCAAATGCAGTTGTTGCACATCATCATGCACGTATAAAAAAACGTGATATACAATTAACTAAAATGTTAATTTTACAAGTTATTATAGCAATTGTATGTTCATTACCATTAGCTATATCACAATTAATGACCACTATGACATTAACATGGACAAAAACTCCATTACGTTTAACAATCGAAGCATTTTTCTCTTTAATAGCACGTCAATTAGCATATATGAATTGTTCAATTTCATTTTATATATATACACTAGGTGGATCACAGTTTCGTTTAGAAATTCGACAAATTATTAATAAAATAACAATGTTTCTATGTCATAAACGTCTTCTGGAAAAGAAACGTATCGGTATTGATCCTGGATTAGCTGCTGGAAATGTTCAAGAATCTATACTACGACGACAACCTACAGTTAAAGACAAACTAAAAACTGATGCAGAAGTTAGCCTGGATACACAGGATCATGTATAAAAAAAACATAAAAACTTTTATTTATTTTCATGTACAACTACATTCAACAATACGCATATTATCATATCATTTAAGAATTATATCTGAACCATCATAATATAAAAGTATTGTTGGTGCAAATCGTTTTGATTGACAATATAATGTTGATATTTTCTTTGGATGAATATGATGAAGTGAATTTTGCATTTGAAAATAAGAAGACATATTTGAATTTTTATGGCATAAGAACTTGGTTCAATTATCCATGATGTCCAATTAAGTTTAGTAAATGATGTACGTAATGAACGAACTTGACAATATGATGGATCATCATAAAATGATGTTGTATCACCACGATTGACTTTATGTGATAATGTTGTTCGTCGAAAATATAACGTTAAAAAAGCAGATGAATGTAAAGAAATTTTATGAAATTTAATAAAAAATTTAACAGGAAAAAAATGAATATATAGTGTTAAATTTGTTTTCAACCAATTTTTTTCGATTCTAAATGGTTGTTTTAATAAAAGATTGAATTCACTACATTGTATATGAATTATTGATAATTCTGTTATTTGTTTAATAGGAAAAACTAATTCAATATGAACTAAATTTTCAAGAGATGAACTACTATATTCAAAATAATAATTTGAATGATTATACTGATTAGGAAGACTAATAATAGATTCAATATGATCCGGTAAAAATAAATTTGAATATGAAAAATTTACATGACGTTTTTATCGTTTTTCTATTATTGTTCTATGATAGATTGAATGCATAAATTGTATTATAAATTTTGATGATATTGAAGCTTGAAAAAAATAGATTCCATAAATGTTATGTATTATCAAGGACTCAAATGAAAATGTCTAAAAGAAGATAATATCATGAAAATAAAAGTAATTATCGGCTTGTAAACGTTCATCAACTCATATCTTCCTTACGGAAATGCACTTTTTCCTATATTCTAACTTCTGTCTGCATCTTTTTATGTCATGAACAAGTATTTTTTAATCTTTACTTGAGGACAAAACTATTATCTCTGAGAGAAAAATAAAATCAGGCACTGATACTACGTTCTATTTTATTAATAAATCATGATGATATATTCATAATAAAAATAGAATAATATATTACGAAGTTTTATCTAAAAATACATTTAAGTAATCTTATAAACCCTAGATTTGACAATGCACTTATTTTTTAATTTACTCAAAAAAATGACTTGTCATATTTAGTAAAATAAAATATTAACGTACTTCAAGACTTACTATTTGATTGTGATGACACTAACAGATTAATAAAAAGAAAATATACCAATTATAATAATTAAACAAATTACTATACATAATATTATAAGAAAAAACAATTTTAATTTTAATGATGACACTTCTTGTTGTTTGTTCGATATGTTTCATCATGTTTTCAAATATAAATAATGAATTTTTCTCTATTCTTGTCTTTTTGTATATTGATATCTTTCAACGAATAGAAAAAAACAATTACACAGAAATATGTCTGATTCTTTTATCGAACTAATCCATATGTTTATATTGCATTTTATATCGACAACATTAACAATTCTTTCTCTAATTGATAGACATGATCAACAAGATACTTAAGATCATAGGTAAGAACGAAATATGATTCTATTTATCCTATATAATATATCAATATTGTTCTTTTTTCTTTTATCGCTAACTAATCACTTTTTCTTTATTGAATACAAAAAATGATTAAAAATCTTAACAAAGTAAATTCCATGGTGCTGCATTAAAATACACGTGCATTGTAGTAAAACCAGTAGTTTCGTGAAAGAAATCAGGCATACATGTTGGAACTGGTACTAAGAATGACTAAAAAATATACAGATGTATATGCATATATTGAATGAATACAAATGTTTTTAAACATACGGTTAAAGCTGCTAAAGGTGGATATTCAGCCCGGTTTGTATGCTCAAATTTTCCAGCTGCAGCCCAACCAAATCCAGTTAATATTCCTTCATTGTACATAAGAAAAGCAGGAAAAAAGTGACTACAGTCAGTATCAAGTCGATTGTCATACCAATAATGAACACCTAAATGATTTTTATAATAAAATAATTTCTAGTTTTATTATTCTAAATATTTTTACCCATCGTTGGAAAACATGCACCTTGAACCCATTTGGTTTTATTAGCATCAGTTTGATTCATTGGTGATGAAAAGGAATCTTGAATTGGATCTGGACCATTTTGTAACCAAAGTCCTGTACCTGTAGTTCCTACTTTACGAGTATCATTAGCATCTGATTGACAAATTGTTTTTGGATCAATAAAATATGCTGTAAGAATGTACACATCAATACCAGCAATCGTATCTCGATTATACATTTTCTGTTCAGAAAACTTATAATATTTGTCATTGATTAATGATGCTGGGATCTTTTTAAATTAAATAAAGATTTTTTGTTGAAACAAAATCAATTCACTTACACCCATTTGAGTACCAGCAATGTTACCATGACTATCATAGATTAAAATTAGACTAACATCTTTACCTTGCATAAAACGTTGTCCAAGAAATTTTCCTACAAAACCATAGTTTTACTTAATGAAGAATATAAAATAGAATGAATAAATTCACCTTGACATCCAGTTGAAATTTGCTCAAAAC